CCCCAAAACCCCAAAACCCCAAAACCCCTTCCTTAAAAGGAAAATTGAAATGATGTCAGTTTATTAAAAATGAACTATTTCCAGAAAATAAAGACCGCGTCTGGGAAAAACTACTCTTCAATTTTTAAATTCACTGGGCTCTTTATTGCTTACAAAAGTTATTGAATGTACCAGCATGACTCTGCAGACCAGATCATCTCTTATAAACCAATTATGGAAGATGGAAGAGATAACACTTTGGTAGAAGACTCTGGACTTTTGGTCGACAGGTTCAGGCCTTCCTTTCTAGTTCTATCCGGATTAGGACAAAGTATCTATGGGGCTACTAGAAGAGGGAAGCGCCCAGGATATCAAAATGAACTTCTGAAGCTTCCTGATGGAGGCCAGATTAGGCTGCAAAGCATCATTCATCCAGATAACGATAATAAGGGTGTTGTGGTAATCATTCCTGGGATAACAGGCGATGGCTATAAGAATTACGTAATCAACACGGCAAAGAATTCTATCAAGAATGGATATAGTGTGTACATTGTTAACCATAGAGGATTGTGAGATACACCCTTATCTACTCCCTTGACGTACCATGGAGGCAGTTCATTTGATACTAAAGCTGCTTTAGAGCACATTGTGTCTGAGCATCCAGACCAACCAATCTATGGAGTTGGCTATTCTCTCGGTTCTAATATCCTAGGAAACTATATTGGAGAAGAGGGAGAAAATTGAATTTTGTCTGGAGCTGCTCTTGTGTGCTGCCCTTTCAAAACAGATGAGGCTAGTAAATAAAGTGGAAAGCTCAAACTTCGGTTTGATCTCTAGATGGCTAGCAAGATGATGTAAAAAGACAATTCAAAAACATGAAGAAATGTACCCTTTATTTTTACAAGAGCACAACATCGAACTTTCTAGTATTTTGAAGGAAATTAAAAAGCTCAGAGATTTTGACGATAAGATCACAGCAAAGCAGTTTGGATACTCTTGAGTAATGGATTATTATCAAAAATGAAGCATTGTTTCAAAAATGAAGAATATAAAAATAAAAACTCTCTTTATTTCAGCACTAGACGATCCTTTCTTTGGCCCAGATGTCATCCCACACTCAGAATTCCAAAAGAATGAGAACCTTTATTTAATTGCTACAAGTGGTGGAGGACATGTTGGGTTCCATGACACTGTGCTTTCAAAGGATCAATGGCATAATAAGCCAATGATTAAGTTCTTCAACTATCTCTCTAGCTCTGAGAGTAGGATGTTTTAGATCAGATCACAGTGAGAAATTATAATAAACTTCAATAAGAGTGAGAAATTAAGGGGTTTTGGGGTTTTGGGGTTTTGGGGTTTTGGGG